AATGAGAAAGTATTCTGTAAACCTTCATCTAAAGTACAATTAAAAAAAATACAAAAAAATTTTTTAAACATTTTATTGTGAAGTATATATAACAAAATTTGCCACTTTAATCATTTTTAAGTGTACAATTCAGTGATACTAATTACATTTACTGTGTGGTACAGCCATCACCACTATTTCCAGAAGTTTTTCATTACCCAAACAGAAACTCAATACTCCTTCAGCAATAACTCCCTATTTCCTCCTCCCCCCACTAGTAAACTTTTATCCCTTTGCATTTGCCTATTCTAGATATTTTCATGTAAGTGGGATCAAACAATGTTTGTCCTTTTGTGTCTGACTTATTTCACTTAGCATAGTATCTTCAAGGTTCATCTTTGTTTTGAAAGTTATTTCCTGATTTATTTATTTTTTTAAATTGGGACATTTCACATATCATAAAATTCACTCCTTTAAAATGTGCAATCCAGTAGCTTTTCGTATATTCACAAAGTTGTGCCATTCCAGAAACCCCATACCCATTAGTAGTCACTCCCCTTTCCCACCTCCCCTCACCCCCTGGCAACTGCTAGTCTGTATCTCTATGGATTTGCCTATTCTTCACATTTCATATAAATGGAATCGTACAGTATTGTAGTCTGAGTTCTGAGCCATAACAAGCATCATAAGGAGAGCTAATCCCTGACCCGTGACCACACCCTTATTTTTCCACCCCTGTTTTTTTCCAGTACCTTGAGATGTCTCATATGGATGTGTGTTGACACGGAGCCTGCAGGTCTAAGCTCCACCCCTTGGGCTTAGAGAGTGGCACATGGACTCTAGGCATGTCCCCATAGCCTGATGGTCAGCTCACTTTGTGGATAGGAGTACAGCCAGAGGAGGGCCAGAGTGGGACCCCTAGGTCAGAGAGCCATGTCATATAGATTGGAGGAAATACCTTAGGGAGATACTGAGGTAGAGAAGGAAGCCACTGAGAACTGAACCTTGGCCCTCCAACATTTAGAAGTCGAGCTGAAGGAGACAAAAGTGTTTAAATTCCACGAGGGAAGAGATTACCGGTTTTCTTCACTGCTGAATCTCCAGTGTTTAGAAAAGTCCTGTGTAGAATACGTATTTGTTGAATGAATGACAGGAGACTGAGAAGTAATCAGTGAATGAGGAAAATAAAAATCCCAGTTTCTAAATTATGAACCCAGAATAGCAAAAACTTTATAAAAGAAGAACAAAGTTGGATAACTAAGATTACCCAGTTTCAAAACTATAGCTTCTCTTAATAATGGTACAGTAATGAAGACAGTGTGGTACTGGCATAAAGATGAACGTACAGATCAATGGAACAGAATTTGAGAGTCCAGAAAGAAACCCTTACGTTAATGGTCAATTGATTTTTCAACGAAGATGCCAAGGCAATTCCATAGGGAAAGGATAACCTTTCCAAAAAATGGTGCTGGAACAATTTTATATTCATATGCCAGAAAAAAAAAACTTGGGTCTATACCTGATACCATATACAAAAATTAACTTTAAATAGATCATAGACCTAAATGTAAAACCTAAACCAAAAGTTTTAGAAGAGAAAATCTTCATGACTCATCTTTCATAGATCACAAGTCTGAAAGCATATTCCATAAGAGAAAAAAAATAGATAAATTGAACCTTATCAACATTAAAAACTTTTGCTCTTCAAGAGACACCATTAAGAAAATGAAAAGACAAGCTACAGACTAGGAGTACATATATATTTGCAAATCATCTATCTGATAAAGGACTTGTATCCAGAATTTATAAAGCATCCTTAAATTCAATGATAAGAAGTTAAATCATCCAAAGGGGGAAAAAAAGTTTTGAACAGTCATCAAAAGAAGATAAATGAATTACTAATAAGCTCATGAAAAGCTGTTCAACATCTTTAGTCATTAGGGAAATGCAAATTAAAACTCCAGTGAGATACCACTATACACCCACTAGGTTATCAGTGAAAGAAGCCAGACGCAAAAGACTACACAATGTATGATTCCATTTATATGAAATTTCCAGAAATTGCAAATCTGTAGAGGCCGAAAGCATGTAAGTGGTTACTGGGGCTGGAGGTAAGAGCAGGGATTGACTGCACATGGGCCCAAGGGAGCTTTTGGTGGTGATGGAAATGGTTTAGCACTGGATCACAGTAGTGGTTGCAAGACTCTACAAATTTGCTGAAAATCACTGAATTGTATACTTACAAGTGGTGAATTTTGTGGTATGTGAATTATACTTCAGTAAGGCTGTTTTTTTTTAAAAAAAAGATACACAGTGCATCAGTCAGGGTTCAACCAGAGGAGAACTAGTAGAACGTATAGACAGGCGTTTATTACAAGGAGTTTGCTTATGCATTCATGAGGGTTGGTTAAGCAAATCCGAGATCTGTAGGGCAGGCTGTCAAGAAGGGAAGATCCAGAGAGGGGAGAGCAATTGTAGACCCAGCTGCTGTTTGGAGTCTGACTCCGGGAATGCCTATACTTTTCTTTTTAAAAGAGCCTCCACTAGTTGAGTCAGGCTCACCCAGGACAATCTCCCTAGTTCAAAGCCAGCTGACTCAGGACTTGAATTACATCTGCAAAATCCTTCACAGTTACACCTACGTTAGTGTTTGATTGATAAATTGGGAGAAGGTATAATGCAAAAGACCGCTGCTCTCCTCCCAGTTGTTGTAGTTTAGCCTAGTAGCGAAACTGACACATCACAGAACCATTGTACTTATATAAGTATTTTGTTTTCTGCAGAAAGATAATTTGCTTTTACAAGCTGCCAGAAAGATTTATTCACATAATCATTCAATGACCTTGCACTGTGTGCAAGACACAATACTGTAGGCTGCACTCTTATTAAAAAAAAAATTTTTTTTTCATTTAAATGGTGACTGGCACATACCAAAAAGAAAGAAAACCTCAAACCCATTCCTGTTGAGTCGATTCTGACTCATAGCGACCCTGGAGGACAGAGTAGAACTGCCCCATAGGGTTTCCAAGGAGCAGATGGTGGATTACGAACTGCTGACCTTTCGGTTAGCAGCTGAGCTCTTAACCACTATACCACCAGGGCTCCTGACTGGCACATAGAGGTAGCCAAATACTTGTCAAATGAATATGCTATCAATACCCTACCAGGTTTGGGTACTGTGATGGTTAAGGTTGTATGTCAACTTGGCTAGGCCATGATTCTCAGTGGTTTGACAGTTGTATAATGATATAGTCATCCTCCATGATGTGATCTGATGTGATCAGCCAATCAGTTGTAAAGGGAGTTTCCTCAGGAGTGTGGCCTGCATCCAGTACATATATGGACATTCTGGCAAAGCTCTCTGGCTTGCTCTGGATCCTGTGTCCAGCTTGTCATCATCTGACCTCCGGTTCTTGGAACTTGAGCCAGTAGCTTGCTGTATTGCCTGCTGATCTTGAGATTTGTCAGCCTCTGCAGCCCGTGAGCCAGTAGCCTGCTGTCTAGCCTGCCAATTTTGGGTTTGACCATCCCTGAAGCTATGTGAGTCAGGAGAAACCTCCAGCCTGATGCCTGACCCACCAACTTGGGACTTGCTAGCCTCTACAACCACGTGAGCCATTTCCTGGAGATAAATCTCTCTTTACATATATATGTGGATATATCTATATACATATCCATATATATATATATGTTTCACTGGTTTTCTTCTCTAGAGAACCCAGTGTAAGACAAGCACATGTGCTTTGAACACATTATCAGGAGGGACCAGTCCCTGGAGAAGGACATCATGCTTGGTAGAGGGTCAGCAAGAGAGAGGAAGAAAGACCCTCAGTGAGATGGATCGACACAGTGACTGCAAAGGTGGGCTCAAACATAGCAATGATTGTGAGGATGGTGCAGGACCAGGCAGTGTTTCTTTCTGTTTTGCATGGGGTTGCTATGAGTTGAAACCGACTCAACAGCACCTAACAACAACAACATTGTCGTTTGGGTGGAATATGTATTGTGCAGCTTCAGGTAGCATATTTCTCTCTCCAAGCATACTCACGCAGTTTACACACTTAAGCCCGTTCGATTTTGCCAAGGATTTCCTGAAGGAAAAATACTGTCTAAACATAGCAGATATAGAAGAAAGAAATTATACTGCTTAGCAGTTACAATATTTACAGGAAGTCACAATGGGGACGTATGAAGACTTGATCCGCCTCTGAGAGCCAGTAAATATTTTCCAACAGATCCAAATTTCCAGTCTTGCGGTTTTCCAGAATTTGAGGATCCTGATTCCCTGGACCGCTTTCGAGGGAAGGTTGTTAGGTAAGAATCTCACTCACCCACTCTCCACTTGAGAATGAATTATTGTTGTGACAGCTCTGTTGCCGCTCAGCGACTCCCTTTCCAGGCAACCTTCTCCCAGCCCCTCCGCTGGCCGCACTGTTGTCATGACGACGAGTTTGTTTCTACCCGGTGGCGACCGCTCTTCGCTAGCTGCTGCGTGGGCGCTGATGGGGTTCGGGAGGTTTCAGCCCTCCTATCCTCCGTCCTCCTACCAGAGAAGAAACTGGTTTAACGTTTCTCTCTCCTCTGAGCAGCCAGGAAGTAGTGAAAAACAATAAGACAGGTACTTTCTTGTCCCCCACTTTTCTCTTCGCCTCTCTCAGGGCAGGCCATTGCGATTAGGTTCAAGGCCGTAATCTCCAAATTCTTTGGGGACCCGCCGGAAATGAAGTTGGTATCACTGTTACTCGTTCAGCGTTTGCATGACATTTTAGAGTTGATTTGCAGTGCATTAAGTATACCTAGTTTTGCTTGATGATAGCGTCACTCTAGGAAGATGGTTGTTTGGGATTTTTTTGTTTCTTTATATTTTGGTGTTTCAAAATATAAATAATTTTAACTATCAGCTTGTTGGGGAGACATACCTCAACAATTAGATTTTTTATTTTTTTAATATTGTGGTTGCATGTCAGGGAGGAAATTAGGTCCAGAATTTTAGAGCTGTATGGCTATTTAGAGAGCATCTGATCCACTTCTTTAATTTAATCCATGAGGAAACTGAAGCCCCTAAGGGGAAGTGACTTGTTTCCTTTCTTCATGGCAAGTGGGTGGTAGAGCTGTAACAGCAATCCCTCCTCTTTTATCTCAACTGCCATTCTGAAGACTGTTACCGAACTTGGAAGGAAGATGTAACAGGGCCTAGAATTTTACATTTGGTATTGACATGTAAGATGTGTTATGAATATATGGAGGATTTTTTTTACGATAATTGTTTTATGGACTTTCTCTCCTCAGAGTATAGAGTATTGTAATCTGTAGGGGATCAAGATGTCAGATGAAAACAAAGCTGCCATTGCAGCGCAAAAGGAGGCTCTGAACTTGAAGTTACCCCCTATTGTTCGTCCCTCAGAAGACTTAGGTGTGGACACACCATCCCAAAGCAAGCTGCTCAACTATAGAAGATCTAAGGAGCAGCAGAAGACAATTAATCAGTTAGTGTAAGTAGCACATTAGTGAACAGTTCTTGCTTTGAGTTCAGGTAAAATGACTAGCGTTCACGTTCTCATAGAAAGCTTTAACTGTGAAGGTTGATTTATGAACAAAATACCATCTTCAAGTTAGGGAAACAATTGAAAAATAACCACAGTAGTAAAAAATACTGTATAGTGCTTACTCTAGTGTCTTAGTTATCTAGTGCTGCTGTAACAGAAATACCACGAGTGGATGGCTTTAACAAACAGATATTTATTCTCTCACAGTTTAGGAGGCTAGAAGTCTGAATTCAGGGTGCCAGCTCCTGGGGAAGGCTTTCTCTTTCTGTTGGCTCTTGGGGAAAGTCCTGTCATCAATCTTCCCCATTGAGGAGCTTCTCAGCACAAAGACCCCGGGTCCAAAGGATGTGTTATTCTCCTGGCTCTTGTTTCTTGGCAGTACGATGTCCCCATGTGTCTCTGCTGGCTTCTCTCTTTTATATCTTAAAAGAGATTGACTTAAAACATAATCTAATCTTGAAGATTCAGTCCTGTCTCATTAACATAACTGCCTCTAATCCTGCCTCATTAACATCATAGAGGTAGGATTTACAACACATAGGAAAATCACATCAGATGACAAACTGGTGGACAATCACACAATACTGGGAATCACAGCCTAGTCAAGTTGACACATATTTTGGGGAGACACGGTTCAGTCCATGACATCTCATAAGGCATTATTCTCATCACTTTACCTATACTATGTATTCATTTACTTCTCACAACAACCCTAAAAGGTAGGTACTATTGTTGTCTCTATGTTACAGATGAGGAAACTGAGGTGCAGAGAGATCAAGTAACTTGCCCAAGGTCACATAGTAGCTAGGAAGTGACAGAGCTGGGATTTGGACTTAGAAGGTTTGGTTCTAGAGTTCACATACCTTAAACACCACACTAGTCTGTCCCTCTATATATTATAATCAGACTGATCCTTGACAGTAAAACCAAGTCATTGGGCCTCTACAGATACCATTTCATTTGAACAAAGAATAGAACATCTTGAAATGACTTGTATTTAAACAGTTTTCTATATAAACGACAGTCTAGTCCAGCCACCTCTCCCCTATTTAGTGAAAATTAAAACTAATTTAGGTACCAACTATTAAAGGCTGTAGTACAAATGGTTCAGTTCAATACAATAAATAATTACTGAGAATTTCCTAGGTACCTGGCTCTGCTGGGCTCTGGGATAAATAAGAAACAGGGATCTCATCTAGGAGATTCCAAGCCAAAACTCAACTGTAAAATGGGGAGCTCCTCTTTGGTGGAGTCTTGCTTGTCTTCCTGCATCCTTCTTTCCCTTCCTGTTTGGCCTCATTTATAGACATACTTGCACCTGACTGATTTTTACTGTCTTTTACATTGCTGATGGTCATATTGCTGCCAATTTAATAATTTTAATTTTTACTAATTTTACTTTCTTTACAATTAAACAAGTCTGTTAATCTATATATCATATACTTTTCTTTAGGTTTACATTTTATTAGTTTATCAATCATCTACTCATATTTAAATCTAAATTTATATGTTATATTAACTAATGTCAGTACCATGTACTATAAGAGATACATTTTATCCCCTTTATTTCTAAGACTGTTCAACATTTCAGTAGACTTAGAGAATAGTAGATTATTACCTAGGTGTTACAGATTGTTTTTACTCCAAAACCTTTCATTATCCCACGTTGCTGAGTTCAACTACTTGTAGTTCTGTGAATATACTATATTTTTTATAGTTTAGAGATGCTTCCTGGAATTTTCTTCACTGCTTTATCTGCCTGGGAACTTACACTAGTTCTTTAAGACTTAGCTTACTGATCATCTCCTCTGGGAAGAACCCTTTCTACATGTTTTTCTTCTATCAGTTTATTCAGGAATGTTAAACACTTACTGTTACACACATACTATACTGTGTTACTAGGGAGACCATAGAAAACATGGCAGAAAGGATCCTTCCTTTAAGACACTTATATTCTAGTGGGAAGAGACAGACAGTAAACATGTTAAAAAGTCTCTTCTCTTTTCCTTGTTTGCCTTCTGCCTTGATTACATTCTTCGAGTTGTGCAACCGTTCTCACTAGATGGCCGCTCACAGGCTTTCAAGACCCCAGACACTACTCACCAAGGTAGAATGTAGAGAATTGTCTTCATAAGCTGTGTCATGCTAATTGAGCTAGATGTTCCCCGAGACCATGGTCCCCACAGCCCTCCGCCCAGCAATTCAGTCCCTCAGGGAGTTTGGATGTGTCTATGGGGCTTCCATGACCTTTAGGGGTAACTTTTATTGACAGGAATAGTTGAAGGAAATGGATAGGTATCATTAAGTTTTTGAAGAGTAACATGGAAGAAATATATGACTTTTTCTATCCACCTCCAGAGAATAGTAGTTAGAAGGATACAGCTCAATATAAATTTTTTTTTTCTAACAATATGAGCTAGCTGACAATAGATTGCACCACCTCAGAAAGTCATGACCCTCCCACCCCCCTTTGTCCCCTATCCCCTGTATAAGGAGTTCAACTTGATATTGTTGAGAGTATTCATCCATCAGTTAAGGTACTGAACTAGACATGGGAGATCGTTTCCAAATCCACTATTCTGGTCATTTATTCAACCGGTATTCATTCAGTTCCTATACCTTGATGAGAACTATCCAGGTGGTGCAGATAGAACAGTGAGCAAAACAGAAACGTTCACTGCCTTTATGGAGTTTACCAGTATATGATTTTATGGTTCCAGTGACCACCCTTTCCTTGAAATTCCCTTTGGTTCTCCTCTTAACTCGTTGACCATATGTCCCTTGCCTTCTTTAATTATTGTTCTTCCACATTCCTGTCAATCTTGGCGTTCTCCAAACTTCTTTTTCAAGTCTCTTCTCTTTTCCTTGTTTGCTTTCTGCCTTGGCCATCTCTTCCAGTGTATCTGGCCTTTACAAACTGTTAGATTTGTCTTCCTACAAACGTTCTCATGCTCAAAAACTCTCATTGACTCCCCATTGTCTGTTGAATAAAAAGACTTGCTATGTGAGGCCCATTGCTTGATATTACAACCCATTTCTCTAAACTTATGTCCACCTGGTCTGTAACCTTTGGACATATTGGATAACTTCCTACTCCCTGTTTTTTTTCTTAGATCATTCTCTTGCCTTCCTTTCTCAGGGTTTTTGTTTTTTTCAGATTCATCCGCTCAGGATAACCATATCTCCACCTCAAATTCTCTCCTTCATTTAAAGTTCATTGCAAATGCTAATGGTTCATGTACCCTTCCCAGATACCCCTGGGGTAGAAATGAACTTGTCCCTCCTCTTAACGACCATGGTCCCATATCTTTCATATGGCATTCTGTTTTTATCTTTGCTCCCTATCAGTTTATAAATTCCTTGAGAATTGTTGCTGCTATACTTTTATATCATCTTATTATATCTTGCATAATCTAAGTGTTGAATAAATATTTGTTGACAGAAGAATAAATTATATAATATGATACAACTTTATTTACAGAAGAAATTTAATTTTATGGATGATAAATTCATATATTCAGAATTGGTTGTTGAACACCTACTATGTGCCAGGTGCTGTTCTAGGCACTGGGGATACAGCAGTAAAACAGTTTCAATTCTTTTATATGCTAAAGTGGGGAGACAGAAAATAACCAGCATATAATGTCAGATGGTGGCAAGTGCAATGAAGCAAGATAAGACAGGATAAAAGAGATGGACGGTGAAGGGGGCATTATTTATATAGGGTAAAGGGAAGTTCACTAACAAGATGGTATTTGAGCAGATATAATACATATAAGGGCCTACTGTGGCATGAGGATTAATTTCAAAATTATCAGTAAGTTATAATTTAAAAAACAAATTGACTATTACCTTTAGTCTCACCCTTTTACATATGAATTTTTTGAAAATTAAGGTCTCACTAATAACTATTGGGATTTTTTTCTCACAGAAAATTCTGGGGGACATCTAGGTCAATTGGCATAACAAAGTTTATTAAGAAAATGTTCTGTATCCCACTTTGGTGAGTGGCGTCTGGGGTCTTAAAAGCTAGCGAGTGGCCATCTAAGATGCATCAATTGGTCCCAGCCCACCTGGAGTAAAGGAGAATGAAGAACACCAAAGGAAAGTATTAGCCCAAGAGACAGAAAGGGTGCCTTAAACCAGAAACTCCATCAGCCTGAGACCAGAAGAACTAGATGGTTCCCAGCTACCACCAATGACTGCCCTGACAGGGAACACAACAGAGCGTCCCTGATGGGGCAGGAGAAAAGTAGGGTGCAGAACTAAAATTCTAGTAAAAAGACCAGACTTAATGGTTTGATTGAGACTGGAGGGACTCCGGAAGACATGGCCCCCGGGCTCTCTGTTAGCCCCAAACTAAAACAATTTCCGAGGCCAACTCTTCAGGCAAAGATTAGACTGGACTATGTGACATAAAATGATACTTGTAAAGAGTGTGCTTCTTAGCTCAGGTAGATACATGAGACTAAATGGGCAGCTCCTGTCCAGAGGCAAGATGAGAAGGCAGAGAGGGTCAGGAGCTGGTTGAATGGACAGGGAAATCCATGGAGGAAAGGAGGAGTGTGTTGTCACAGTGTAGGGAGAACAACTAGTGTCACATAACAATGTATATATAAATTTTTGTATTAGAGACTAACTTGAGTTGTAAACTTTCACTTGAAGCACAACAATAAAAAAAAAAAGAAAATTCTGTAAGATAAAAATACTCTTGAAGTTTTTTCTTTTAGTGTAGTAGAAAAAATGCACAAATTGTAATGTTTTAATAATATATTCTAATGTTATCTTAAAGAGATTCATGTATTTTTCCAACTATAAATTTCAGAATTGATGGAGCCAAGAAAAGTTTAGACAAAACACTGTGTAAAAGAATACCTTCATTACCAGAACCAGAATATCCTTCAACTGTAAGTTAAATTTTCTCTTTAAAAA